GAGCTCAAGAAGAGATGGCAAGAATACACAGAAGAACTATACACAAAGATCTTAATGACCCAGATAATCATGATGGTATGGTCACTAACCCAGAGCCAGACATCCTGGAATGCAAAATCAAGTGGGCCTTAGGAAGCACTGCTGCCAATAAAGCTAGTGGAGGAGATAGAATTCCGCAGAGCTATTTCAAATCCTAAAAGATGAAGCTATCAAAGTACTGCACTCAATATGTCAGAAAATTTGGAAAATCCAGCCAGTGGCCACAGGACTGGAAAAGGTCAATCTTCATCCCAATTCCCAAGAAAGGCAGTATTAAAGAATGTTCAAACTACTGTTAAATTGCACTCATCTCCCATGCTAGTCAGAGAAGGCAACAGCACCCCACTCCAGTCCTCTTGCCTGGAAAATTCCATGGATGGAGGAACCTTGTGGGCTGCAGTCCATGGGATTGCTACAAGTCAGACACGACTGAGCGACTTCACTTTCACTTTTCACTTTCCTGCATTGGAGGAGGAAATGGCAACCCACTCCAGTATTTTGCCTGGAGAATCCCAGGGACAGGGGAGCCTGGTGGGCTGCCATCTATGGGGTTGCACAGAGTCAGACACAACTGAAGCGACTTAGCAGCAGTAGCAGCAGCAGCAGCAGCCCATGCTAGTAAGGTTATGCTCAAAAATCCTTCAAGCTAGGCTTTAGCAGGACATGAACTGAGAGCTTCTGGATGTTCAAGCTGGGTTTAGAAAAGGCAGAGGAACCTCAGAGATCAAATTGCCAACATCTGCTGGATCAGAGAAAGCAAGGGAGTTCCAGAAAAATATCTACTTTTGTTTCATTAACTAGCTAAAGCCTTTGACTATGTGGATCATAACAAACTGTGGAAGACTTAAAGAAATGGGAATACCAGACCACTTTTACCTGCATCCTGAGAAACCTGTTTTCAGGTCAAAAAGCAACAATTAGAACCTTATATGAAACAACTGGCTGGTTCAAAATTGAGAAAGGAGTACAACAAGGTTGTATACTGTCACCCTGTTTATTTAACTTAAATGCAGAGTACATTACGCGAGATGCTAGACTGGATGAGTTACAAGCTGGAATCAAGATTGCCGTGAGAAATATCAGCAACCTCAGATATGCAGATGATACCTCTTTATAGCAGAAAGCAAAGAGGAACTAAAGAGCCTCTTGATGAAGGTGAAAGAGGAGGGTAAAAAAGCCGGCTTAAAACTCAATCTTAAAAAAACCAAGCTCATGGCATCTGGTCCCATCACTTCATAGCAAATAGAAGGGGGAAAGGTGGGAGCATTGACAGATTTCCTCTTCTTGGGCTCTAAAATCACTGTGGATGGTGACTGCAATTAAGAAATTAAAAGACAGTTGCTTCTTGGCAGGAAAACTACAACAAACCTAGACAGTATATTAAAAAGCAAAGACATCAGTTTGCCTACAAAGGTCCATATAGTCAAGGCTATGGTCTTTCCAGTAGTCATGTATGGATGTGAAAGCTGGACCATAAAGAAGGTTGAGCACTGAAGAATTGATGTTTTCAAATTGTGGTGCTGGGGAAGACTCTTGAGAGTCCTTTGGACAGCAAGGACATCAAACCAGTCAATCTTAAAGGAAATCTACCCTAAATACTCATTGGAAGGACTGATGCTGAAGCTCCAATATTTTTGCCGCCTGATGCAAACAGCTGACTCATTGGAAAAGAGACTGATGCTGGGAAAGATTGAGGACAGGAGGAGAAGGGAGCAACAGAGGATGAGATGGTTGGATGACATCACCAACTCAATGGACGTGAATTTGAGCAAAGTTCAGGAGATGGTGAGGGATAGGGTAGCCTGGTGTGCTGCAGTCCACTGCGTCGCAGAGTTGGACAAGACTTGGTGACTGAACAGAAAAATATATTCACTTTCATCTGTTGTTTGATCTAACTTTCTTCCTGTTTTCACCATGCTACACTTATCTTCCCAATTCCTTTCTTTTTCAAAGTCTCTGTCTTACAGTGTTATATAATAATGGGTATTGGATTATATGTTAAATTATATTGAAATCCTTTGTACATTTGCATCTTTATAGGCTTCATTGCCCCAAACTGAAATTCCTTCCCTATTCTTCCCATATTCAAACCATTTATCTTTCAATGTTTTCGTATGTACTGTTTCCTTCATAAAGATCTTGGCGTCCCTCTTCCTATTCATCCATCCATCCACCCAGGTCTCACTCCATACTGAATTCTGAGAGCTCTGAGTACACCATTTGTTAGATCACCTGGAATCTTATCATATGTGCATGTCTTGCTCTCTTTTGTGGGTTGAATGGTGACCCCACAGAAGATATGCCTATGTCCTAATCCCTGGATCCTGTGAATATGAGCTTATATGGAAAAAAATTCTTTGCTGATATAGTTAATTCAAGGACCTTGAAAAGAGATCATCCTGGATTACCTTGGTAGGTCCTAAATCAAATGACAAATGTCCTTAGAAGACACAGAAGAGGAGACAGAAGAGGAGGAGATGAAGGCACACACAAGCTAAGGAATGCCTAGAGCCACCTGTAGCTGGAAAAAGATGAAGAAGTCTCTTCTAGAGCCTTTGGAAGGAGTGTAGGCCTGCTGACACCTTGATTCTATACTTCTGGCCTCTAGAAGTGTGAGACAATAGACTTTTGTTGGTGGTGGTAATTTGTTAAGGCAGCCATAAGAAACTAGAAATTCAAATGACCAGCTCTTATGTCTTTGTATGGGATCTTTCCTCTACCTGGAGAAAAGTAGCACAGAGAACAGAGAAGCCAAAACAGAAAAAAAACAAAACAGCAAGAACTGAGTTGAATTCTCCCCATTTCAGAATGACCCATGCCCGTAGCTGGCTGTCTTCTCTAAATCAGGGACATGTGCCATTTCCTCCAGAGAGTGACTGTGGAGTTTCCACGCGGGAATGGATAGGGAGGTTGACACGGAGAAACCCCCTTCTACTGTGTGCAGCTCTTCCATGTACTCACTCACTGCTGCTGTTTTGTGACTTGTTTCTCTATCAAAGTGATGGGATAAGGTCTCACCTATGTGGGGAGAGGACAGAGTCCCTCTGAAAAGTGTGTGGTCATTCTAGGGTTAATCATGAGGAAGAGGCAAGTCCTAGACATGAAATCATAATTTGGAAAGCAAGCTGCAGGCAGCGTCTCTGGAGTTGGGATTTTGATATAGCGGCCTCCTTTCAGTTTCCCCAAATAGCCATGTTCTTTTTTGTTTTAGGCTTCTGTATTTGCTATTCTCTCTAGCCAGAACATTCTTTCCCCAGCTAACGTCTATCCTGAGTCTGAGTTCTGAAAAGCACCCTTCTATGACTAACTAGATTAGACCAGGACCCTTGAAAACTGCCCTTAGCCCAATGTCCTCCTCCTCAGAAGCATGTGTCACCGTTACATCTTGTTCAATATCCTGACTCATTTGGTGTTATACTGCAGGTTCCATGGGCAACAATGTGCCCAACTAGGTCACTTTCCTTCCTCTGCAGCAGAGAGTAGAGCACCCTCCCCATCCCCACCCCCACCAACTTCAGATGAGGGAAGTGAGCCTATGGTTAGAAGTTATTCTCCAGTGGTCTTTGCCCCCAGCCTTCAGTTAAGCCTCATTCATATTTTCTGAGGCCAACTGTGGCCAGATGCACAAGTGAGCAACACCCCTGAGGCTTGCAGGAGGCTTACAGTCACCGTCAGGATTATCCCAGGGGAGAGTGAGTCTCTGTCAGAGGCCAGGGCTGTCACAGCTGCCCCTCCCCATGGGGAGTCTCTCTTATTAATACTCCTGGCCTTGACAATTTGGATGTGAATTTATTGAAATGCCAACCAGTGAATTTCCTTATAACAGAAAATGTCAAATTCACATGAGAGATGACTATAATCCAACAGGGCCGCCAGCATAGAATTTGGTAAAATGTGGATTAGATCAGGCAGAAGCAATGGGGGGCATCTATACCTGTGTGCCAGGGCTTCCCAGGTGGTGCCAGTGGTAAAGAACCTGCCTACCAATGCAGATAGACATAAGAGACATGGGTTCTGTCCCTGGGTCAGAAATATCTGGAGGAGCACATGACAACCCACTCCAGTATTCTTGCCTGGAGAATCCCCATGGACAGAGGAGCCTGGCAGTCTGCAGTCCATAGAGCTGCAAAGAGTTGGACACGACTGAAGTGACTTAGCACGAACGCATGCATACCTGTGTGCACTTGTGAAGGCTGAGTTACGGGAGATGCTGAATATAATGGAAACAGTGACTTAGAACTTCAGGCATCTCCTGAAAAGACAAGCCAATGGAATCACAGAGAGACAGAGGTCAGCTGAAAAAAAGCAGGACCACAGAGGCGCGCATCAGATTCCTTGAAGAACCCAGAAGTCCGAGTAATTGGAATAAGGTAGCACGTGAGCCTGAATAGAGCCGAGAGAGAGAAGGTGCAATGGGCACACGATTACCACCAGCACTCAGGTTACCAAAAAGAGGGGTCCAAGTTGGACTTTTCTAGAAAAGGTTCCACATGTTGCTAACACATCTGGGATAAAAGCATTCTTCACCTCATCCACTTCGGGATCAATCTCCCACCAAAGCCTCACATGTTAAACATCTGACTGGCCTTATAGAATGAATTGTAGCATAGGAGGCAATTAATGTTTAGATCAAAAAATTGGACAGTTATAATTTATATTCACTCCTATTTCTCCATCTTGGGATAGTTCACTCATTCTAATTAACATGGGGGTGGGGATAACACTCACCACCCTCTTGCTCCTCCCACCCAGGCATCTCCAACTGGAAACTCTTTCTCTCCCAAATCCCAACTGAGAAAACCAGTTGAACGAGGTCCTCTCTCCCCCTGCCAGTTAACTAGCAAATCCCTCAGGGTTGGGAAGGATGGGAGAAGTCAGGAGACAGACCAGTCCAGACCACTTCCCATCATTCAGCAGCAGGGGATTGGCTGGAGGCCAGGCCTGTGGGTTCTGAGGCTGATCTACACCAATTTCTTGGCTTTGAAGAAGCTCTTGAGGTGCTGCATCTGCCAGATGCCGGTGGCCACAAGGATGAGGGTCTGCAGGATGGACCACCACAGCACCCTCTGATTGGTGCTCTCGCTGGTCTGCCGGAAGCGCTCCTCTCGCCACTGTGGGAAGGGGAGAAGGAGGAAGGCAAGGCATGTGGCTAGAATGGAAATGACCTCCAGGGGAAAAGCTGAAAGAGCCACTCCCTGGCAGGGTACACGTCTGCTGTCCCAACTGGACCCAGCCCAGCCCCTCACCCTCTGGTATTCCTGTTCCTTCTGGATCTTCTCGACCTGCTCCACCAGCTGCTGTATCCGCAGATGCAGCAGGGTCAGCTTGTCATTGGCCGCAAGTTCCGTATAATCATTGGTGTGCTCACCCAACTGCATGTCCAAGTGAATGGCCTGAGGAGCAGAGGAGTCAAGGGTTGGAGGTCAGGGAGCACCTGCAGGAAACCCAGCTTCCACACACTACTCTGGGCCTGACTGAACTGAGCGGTTCATTTCCTCACACTCAGTAATGTGGGGACAGCCCTGCTCCAGGTGCCAGAATCCCAAATCAATGCCCTGCTTGCATGGACTTCCACGTCCAAAAGACAGACGGGACAAAACAAAATGTGCAGAGAAACCAAGGTGTGACTCAGTGTTTGAGACAGCCAGCTTCTAGGAGATCTGTGTCAGTGGGAGGTGGTAACGAAGAGCCTGGGAGCATTCAGCTGCCAGACAGCTCTGAATCTCACGTTAGAAGCTTGGGCTTCATTCTAGAGATGGCAGGGGGCCTAAGGATGGTTTTAAGTCCAAGTAACTCCCTCCTGGGTCCCCTCTCATTCTTCAGGACCTGTTCTCTGTAGGCTTACTTCATGGAAAGCCCAGCCCTCATCAGGCACCACCTGCGGAACACTTCTCACCCCAGGGATTGTGACATTGAGGACTGGTGACGTTCCCCTCCATACTCACCAGTTTACCATCATAGAAGAGGGCGAACCGGATGGACTTGAGGTGAAGGCAGACCTGGTGCTCTCCTGGAGACTGGGAGGTGAAGGTGAAGCTGCCCCGAGGGCCATATTGGCGGGCCAGCAGATTCTAGCAGAAACAGCTTCTGGTGAGCACAGAGAAATGGACCAGAAACCTGCTTCTAAGAGAGGAACTCTGGGGGTATCCCAGGTTCTGACCCCCACTGGCCAGACCAGGAAGGAGGGTGTGAGAGAAATTGGCATCCATCCAGGTTCGAAAATCTCAGATCCCAGCACTGCCAAAACACAGTACTCTACAGTTTGCAAAGAGCGTGGCCTTCCTTGATCCCTCCTGCCTGTGAGGAGATGGTCCCTCATCTAAGAAAAGGAGGGCTAGGGAGAACTAGGCATTGACGCTGGAGACCGCGGATCTGGGCAGGGGTCGGGTGAAGGGGGCGGGGCTGCAGGGAGTCAAGGCCTGCCTCACCTTGTTCTCAGGGTCCTTCACAAACACGAACAAATTGATCCACTGCGGGGAGGGCTGGTACTTTTCCATAGCAGGGTCGTATAGCTCGGTCTTGTAGTTACCTAATGGAGAAGCAGCCTGGATGCATCTCCATCCACAGTCATGACCAAGAGCCCACCACGGACTTTTGGTCACAGGGGTGGTGGTAGGTGGAGGAACAGGAAGATCTGGTCTGGTTGTGGGGCCTGACCACAGCCCTCTGCCTCTCTCTTCCCCTCTCCAGCCCTGCTTTTCTGCTGTTATCCGGATCTGGATCACTCTTGCCTCCTCCGTGTCCCCAACCCCTGCACAGGCAATGCAGAGGGTGCTTTGACCACACAGCTGTCCACCTGTTTCCCACCCGTGCCCTCCCCGGGGCTGATCCCGCGGGCCCCATCTCCCACTCCCTCTCAGGGCTCTGGGTGTGGGTAGGGCAAGGCCGGGACTGGCGGGGCGCGCGCACCTATGACCACGGTGCCATCAGGGATCTCCTGAATGAAGCACTTCTCCTCCAGCTCACGGACCTCGAGGTAGAAGGCTCCTCCGCCGCCCGCCAGCGCCAGCAGCTGCCCCAGCAGCAGCGGCAGGGCCAATCCGGCTGCCCTCGCTCGGCCCCATCCCAGCCCGGGACCGGTCCGGGGCCCAGGGCCTCGTGTCCCGCAGGCCCCCGCCACTTTCCCAGGCGAGCCGGAGGGCCTCTGCGCCCCGCCTGCGGAGACTGCGAACTAGCGCACAGACTACAAATCCCAGGAGCGCCAGCGCGGCCCCGCCCCAGGCGCGTTCCCGTGAACCCGCGTTGCGGACTGGCCACGCGAGCTCCCAGCCCGCCAGCGAGGCTCTCTAGAACGGTTTCCTTGCCTTACCTCGCTTAATGCTCGCAGAAACCCAAGGAGGCAGGTGCTCTTAGCGCCATCTTGTTGGTGTGGTAACTGAGCCTCAGAGAGAGGAAGGAAAGGGATTGCCTTCTGAAACTTGCAGAGCAGTTGCCAGAGATGGGTGGCTGGACCTAAACCTCAAGTAGGTGAGAAGTGATGGTGGACGGAATGGTGAGACAGAATGAGAACTGCATACAAACCCCGTGGAGTTCAGAGGCTGAGATAGGAGTTCAGGAAAGGAAGGGAGAAATGTCCCTTTTATGGAAGGGGTAAGTTTGACTCAGGGCTTCGCAGGTGGAGCTAGCGGTGAAGAATCTGCCTGCCAATGAAGGAGAGGGAGAAGACACAGATTCAATCTCTGGGTCGGGAAGATCCCCTGGAGGAGGACGTGGCAACCCACTCCAGTATTCTAGCCTGGAGAATCCCACGGAGAGGCGCCTGGTGTACAGTCCACAGGGTTGCAAACAATCGAACATGACCGAAGAGACTTTGCAAACACCCAAGTTTGACTCAAGCTCTGAAAAATGGTTAAATCTCCCTGAGCAGCGAGGGAGCAAGAACCACTTCGGTGGAAAGACCTAGAATTACCTAGCAGCAGTGGGACAGTTAAGGTACTAGAAAGTTTATGGGAGGGGGGAGGTAAATTGGGCCAAATCACTGAGGGGGCAGGAGCTGCCAGGCCCACTTGCACAGGTGGGACCCTTCATCCAGTGGGACCAAAAGAAGAGATCGTGGGTGAGCCTGGAGAGTGAAAGAAGGCAACAGGAATGCAAATAGGAAAGGACAGGGAATATACAACTGAAAGGTATGGGAGAATGGGGTCAACATGACAAGATAGGGACCCAGGAATAGCAAATCTCAAGAATTCCAAAGCTCACAGTTCCCTAAATAGGCAGTGTAGACCCAAGCCTCATTATAAAGCAGTAAACTATCCAGGTGGTGGGATGAAGTCCTCCACCATATCATACTTGGTAATAATATGTACTCACTGGTTTATTCAGCAATATAAAATAATGATGATGAAAATAATAATATTCTTTTATTCTTCTGTGCCAGCCACTATTTTAAGCACTTTTAAGTGTATTAACTAAATTAATATTTTTAAAACTTTATAAGATAGACTCTAATGGGATTCCAGTTTAACAGGTGGAGAAGCAGTGGCAGAGAAAAGTTGAGTAATACTTGCCCAAGGTTATCCAGCTGATAAGCAGCAGACAGTTGCTCACACAAGCTCTGGGCAAGACCTTACGATGCATATTGGACAAAAAGATGAATAAAACCTGTCTCCTTCCCTCTAAGAGCCCACTGAAAAGCAAAGGATCAATGTCAATATAGTATTTTAAGATTAATGATATCTTTCAGTTACCAGAAATGGTCCCCTCACTTTAGCAGTGTGGCCCATTGATAATTCTAGGGGAGCGTTTTTGTTCCTTCATTGGGAATGGTCTTTAAAAAAAATGGCAGATGCAAGTGTCAACAAAGGCAGACACTTTAGAAAGGTCAATTAAGACAACAACTGAAAAGCATCAGTTGGATTTGGAAACTAGTTCACAAAGGGCATTCACCAGGAGCTGGGAGCAGGGATGATGACTCAGGGTTTGGGAGACTGAGTGGGGTGCTGTCCATGGTCCTGAATGGTGATTGCCAGCGCCACTGCCTGCGTTAAAGGACTGGTTTGGTTTTTGTTTTTGTTATTGTTTTTATATAAAATTTCCAATCCCTCATGAACCAATGCTTTTGTAAAACAAAATTTTAAAAAATGAAACATTATGTGCTTGGCTGTCACATCAATGTTAAATTTTTACAAAAGTTTCTAAACACTCAATTTCTGTACTTTATCTCTTTGAAGATCTATAACAAATGCTCATGGATCAACACTGGCCCACAGTGAATAGTACTGTTTCATAGCCAGTGGTCAGACTGCTCACAGAATCTTCTAAAGGGACAAAAGTGTAAAATTATTAGGGGCTGCAGAGACATGCATGTAAGAAGACAGCATACCAGCAAGATTTCAAAATCAAGAATTCAGATGTTGGGAATGGTGATGTGGTTTCCAAGTGGCAAAAGTGTTGTTTAGATGATAAAACTTGTTTTTAAGTGATGACAGGGTTGAGAATATAAGAACAGAGAGGGATTCTCCCACTTGACAGTGATCTCATTCCACACTGCCAAGACCACTGTACCTGGGTGTCATTTGTGAGATTCAAAAGGAGATACTGGGGGAACTACATCTACTTGCCTTGTCTGGGGTTCCCCCAAGATCTAGTCTCTGCAGACCTCTACTACGTGCTGTGCCCTTTTTAAGGGATGTTCCAAACCCCCATTGCTGCCCTCTTTTCCACTTGCCTAATTCCTATTCACCCTTTCAAGTCTCAAGTGCAGCGACACTTTCTTAGGTGTTTCTAATCCTGGGTTCCTTGGGGCCTTGTATTAACCATGTTGAATTACAGTTGTCCATTCACACTCAAGTCCCTTGGGGCTGATGGCTAGAAGGGATAAAGACAAGTTTCTGCCACAAATTTTTCTCTGTGCTCGCCAAAGCCTAACAAAAATCCAGTAACAGCATGATTGTGCGATGGATGTTTGCTTAGAGAAAGGGAAGAGAGATGAAGGAGAGAAAGAAGAAAAGTATCGAGAGAAAGGAAGGGGAATAGAGAGAGGAAAAAGAAAGAGAAATTGGAGAGAGAAAGAGAGAAGAGGGAAAGGATGAAGGGGGAAAGAAGAAAGAAAGGATGAAGGAGCTGGGAGAGAAAGAATGAAGAAGAGTAATGGTGAGTCATAAGCACCAGAAAAGCCAAAATCTCCATACCTGGTGCCTGGCTTTTCTTGTGATGCCCTCTCCTCATTATTCCCATTAGGCATCTCAAGCTGAGGATTGTGGGGGTGGAGGCTTATCAGGGTTACAATGTCCTGCAGCTAAAATCAGAGCTTCCATGTGCAATTCTGCTCTGGTGCTGGGTGGATTCTGTTGGTTTGCTGGTGACCTCCACTTCATCCCCAGCATACCACAGTGCCACTGTCCTTTCCTCTGGTCCTTTGGCCTCTACATTCATTCTTCTTCCTCCCTGGCCTGTAGAAAAATATTCTTTGCGACCGTCTCCACAAAGGCATTTCCTATGCGTGTTCTTTCCCTGTGCTTTCTGCCCCAGAACGCCTAGGCACTGAAGGGCGTGTATAAGAACAGTATCACTCTGGATCTGGAATCAACTACACTTTTCGATTCAGATACCTCCTGCTCCCAGGCTGACATTGATCCCTTTGACAGAATTCTTCTACTCCTGGTGAGTTTTCTCACTGTCTTCCTTTCCAGTCCATCTTTCCTCAGGGCTTCGAGCAATCCGTCTCACAGGTATGTGCCTGGCTTGGTCCCGCACTGCAGGGGTTCCCATAATGAGGGCAAATCAAAGGGAGTAGCTGGGCTATGTCTCAGTCCCTGAGAATCAGGTAGCCATTGATCCCAGGACTCAGGACTACTAGGGGTAGTGTGCCAAAAACAATATACTTAAATAACACACTTAAGTCTCAGCTCTACTCCAGCCAAAATGTCATTATACTTTCCCACAGTAAAATGTTTGCAGCGTCCTCAAAGTTCTCCACCATCTTCCAAACATCTTTTCTGGATGATTAAAGAAATGCACAGACTTGGCTGAGGCACCAGGACTGCACCAGGACTCCTCTCTGGGCTCTGTTTTAACCAAGGGCAAACCCTTTCCCCTCATGCCTGAGGTTGTATAAATGAACCTGGACATGGAATGCAGCTTTCTCAGACATCATCTACTGCTCATAACTCTTTCTGCCAAGTTGCTTAACTGGTAACCACTCCTGCCCTTGACTGAAGACTTCCTCTCCAGTCTTTCATACAAATGGGAAGCTCCATTCTGTACATTCAAAGATCATTCATTGTCTATAATGAGATAGAGCCCAGGGGAAAGGTGGAGGGAGGAGAGAGGAGGAAGATGGCAAATGCAGACAGTGACACTTCCTTACTTCCTCTTTTCCCCCTTTCCTCTCCTCTCTTCCCTCCCCTCTGTCTCATAGCACCTCCCACCTCTCCTGTTTTTAAAATGCAGGTTTTACTATTATTTAGGCATGGTGAGGCCTAAAGATAGGAGATGGTTGCTATTGAAAAGATAGTTTGGGGACTTCCCTGGCAGTCCAGTGGTTAAGACTCTGTGCTTCCTCTATAGGTGATGCAGGTTCAATTCCTGCTTGGGGAACAAAGATCCCTCATGGAGCATGGTGCTGCAAAAAAAAGAAAAAGAATAAGGATGAAAGAAAGAAAGAAAAGATAGTTTCTTACTCACAATTCTCAAGAGGACTGGTTACACCACATTATGCAGGGCCACATGGGGAAATACGAGGGTTGATTACGAGGCAGGAGTGAGGGGAAATCATGGGTAAAAGCCTTTATTGTGGTTTCCATGGGAAGGAGTAGGTGATTGGTTAGTTTGAATAATTTCAGCAGTCTCTGTGGTGTTTCGGCTTTCCTTGGTTGTCTGGTATCTGACCATGGGGTGATCAGGGCAGGAGAAATACTAGTTTGGCACATGAGAGTTCAATAAACATGGTGGTTGAGGGCGGGTAGTGGTGGTAGTGATAAGTGCTTTGGATTGGTTCTTTTGCATCTGAAAGATACCCTCTGAGTGGAGTTCTTTGCTATTTCTAAGAACTGGCTTACCCTGGGAGGGGCAATGAGGCCCAGATGCCAGAGCACCAGGACCACAGAAAATAAGAAAATACGGTTAATACACTCCCAATGCCAAAAGGTCATGGCAGCATTCTCATCCCAGCTACACTGAAGGCTTTACAAACCAGGAGATGGGGGTCAGAGTGGGAAGGCAAGAGTAGAAAGGTGCATCACAGTCCTGTCTTCTCTTGGACTGGAGTGGAGCGGACTAGGGCTGAGGTTAAGAGGAAAGTAAGACAATTGGGTTTCTGCTGCTGCCACGGCCAGAATACTGCTATACCAAACCTGGTAAATCCCAGTTACACCCAATCTGGTAAGCCCGATCGTGTTTCTAGCTTTGAATAACAAGTTCAAATGACCTAAGGTGGGTTCTGGTCTCATCCTTCTCCATCCCCATCCTTAAAACTAAGATTCAGGATTCTGGACTAGCTCTCATTAGTTGATTATATGAGCTTGTACCTTGCTTCCCTTCTCTGGTGCTCAGATTTTCCTGCCCCTAGGGCTGATCCAGATGAGGGCTCAGCCACTGTGCTGCTTGCTGGTCCATGTTGCAGAACTCTCTGCCTCTCAGGGGCTTGTGTCAATCACTCCATCCTACAGTTCCAAGTGTGTAGATCCTTGCTGGTTGAATGGGCTCTGCCACCACTGGAGAGGAGAAAGGGAGCCCCAGGACTGCTCCCTGAGTGTGGGAGAGATGGCGCTGGTGTTTCCTTCCTCCTCCTGGGGGCGTTTCTGCCTTAAGAATAGTTGGATGCAGAAACTATAAAACTCCTAGAGGAGAACATAGGCAAAACACTCTCCGATATAAATCACAGCAGGATCCTCTATGACCCACATCCCAGAATTTTAGAAACAAAAGCAAAAATAAACAAATGGGACCTAATGAAACTTAAAAGCTTTTGCACAACAAAGGAAACTGTAAGCAAGGTGAAAAGACAGCCCTCAGATTGGGAGAAAATAATAGCAAACGAAGCAACAAACAAAGGATTAATCTCAAAAATATACAAGCGACTCCTCCAGCTCAACTCCAGAAAAATAAATGACCCAATCAAAAAATGGGCCAAAGAACTAAACAGACATTTCTCCAAGGAAGACATACAGATGGCACAAAAACACATGAAAAGATGCTCAACATCACTCATTATCAGAGAAATGCAAATCAAAACCACAATGAGGTACCATTACACACCAGTCAGGATGGCTGCTATCCAAAAGTCTACAAGCAATAAATGCTGGAGAGGGTGTGGAGAGAAGGGAACCCTCTTACACTGTTGGTGGGAATGCAAATTAGTACAGCCACTATGGAAAACAGTGTGGAGATTTCTTAAAAAGCTGGAAATAGAACTGCCATATGACCCAGCAATCCCACTTCTGGGCACACACACCGAGGAAACCAGATCTGAAAGAGACACGTGCACCCCAATGTTCATCGCAGCACTGTTTATAATAGCCAGGACATGGAAGCAACCTAGATGCCCATCAGCAGACGAATGGATGAGGAAGCTGTGGTACATATACACCATGGAATATTACTCAGCCATTAAAAAGAATTCATTTGAATCAGTTCTAATGAGATGGATGAAACTGGAGCCCATTATACAGAGCAAAGTAAGCCAGAAAGATAAAAACCATTACAGTATACTAACACATATATATGGAATTTAGAAAGATGGTAACGATAACCCTATATGCAAAACAGAAAAAGAGACTAAGATGTATAGAACAGACTTGTGGACTCTGGGAGAAGGCGAAGGTGGGATGTTTCAAGAGAACAGCATCGAAACATGTATATTATCTAGGGTGAAACAGATCACCAGCCCAGGTTGGGTGCATGAGACAAGTGCTCGGGCCTGGTGCACTGGGAAGACCCAGAGGGATCGGGTGGAGAGGGAGGTGGGAGGGGGGACCGGGATGGGGAATACATGTAAATCCATGGCTAATTCATTTCAATGTATGACAAAAACCACTGCAATGTTGTAAAGTAATTAGCCTCCAACTAATGAAAATAAATGGGAAAATAAATAAATAAATAAAAAGTTAAAAAAAAAAAGAATAGTTGGATGGAATTAAAGCGAAGTAAGTTCTTCAGTTACCATTAGCACTGATTGATGTTATTTGATCTCTAGTTTCCATGTTCCCTTGAATGTATGTCAAGAATAAACTCCATACTTGTGTCCCAAATCTCTCTCTCTCTCTCTCACACACACACACATTGGATATACATATTAAAAAAAAAATGTATGTGGTGGAACTGGGTCTTAGTTGCAGCATGCAGGATTTTGATCTTTGTTGCAGCATATGGTATCTTTAGTCTTAGCTTGTGAACACTTAGTTGTGGCAAGTGGGATCTATTTCCCTGCCCAGGGATTGAAGTCTGCATTGGTAAGATTCCCCTGGAGGAGGGCATGACAGCTCACTCCAATATTTTTTGCCTGGAGAATCCCTTGGGCAGAGGAGCCTGGCAGGCTACAGTCCATAGAGGTGCACAGAGTTGAATACGACTGAAGTGTCTTATCATGCATGCATGCATGGGAGCATGGAGTCTTAACCACTGGACTAGCAGGGAAGTCCTTCTATAGACATAGTTGAACATTCATATTCTCCTACTGCTGACTTCTTTACTTTCCCTGTATTATTTAATCCCTTATGAACGTTTTCCTTGTTACTGTTCAGATTCACATCTCTGAGTGTTCTCCAAGCTATAGCCTATAGCCCTGGATTTAGGAAAACTGTTTGGAACATGAAGCCTATCTTCTGCTTTGACTATGTCAATGGTCAGTGGGGAAGATTTCCAGCAAGACTGATAAAGGTCTGGAGAGAAAATGCTTTCTTTTTCTACACTGCTACAGAAACAGAATGTGCCAAGAGTTGTCTACTTCTTGATAGTCCAGTTCTTAATGTGAAGACTCTGACTTAAAAACTCAGAGGAAACCAATGGGACATACCAGAGAGTGTGTCAGACTAAAGCACAGGGCCTGGTGACAGCATAGCTTAGGAAATATGACATGTGTGTGAGATGTAGAGATAGCCCTTTCCTCATCTCTCAAGAAACTTCCTGCAACAGCGCTTTAGCAAAACTGAAAACTTAAATTTAACCATGGTAAAAGATTGAAAGATTTCCTTCTAGAATCAGCAACAAGGCAAAATGTCTATTCTCACCACCTTATTCAGCAGCACATCAGAAGCTGTAACAGCTGCAATAAAGCTGAAAGAAGAAATGAAAAGCATGCAGATTGGAAAGGAAGAAATAAAACTAACCCTATTTGTAGATGACTTGATTGTATAGATGGAAAATCTCAAGGAATCTACCAAAAGCTCCTAGAACTAACAAATGAGTTTAGCAATTTGCAAAATATAAGAGCAACACAAAGAAATCAAGCACATTGCTATGTATTAATAATAAAGAAACCAAAATTTAAAATGTAATACCATTTACAATCATGCCAAAGGTAATCTTACTCCGGTAAGATCTAAACAAACCATGTACAGGATCTGTTTGCTAAAAGTTACAAAATCCTGATGATAGAAATCAAAGAAGACCCAAATAAATGTAGAGACATACTGTATTTGTGTACTGGAACACTCAGCATAGTAAAGATGGCAATTCTTTCCAGATTAATATTCAGGTTTAGCACAATTCCTATTAATATCTCCTGAAGAAGGAAATGGCAACCCACTCCAGTATTCTTGCCTGGGAAATACCATGGACAGAGGAGCCCAGCAGGCTGCAGTCCAAAAACAACAATCAAGATGATAGTAATAAGGGCTATATGTGGTATTGGTAGAAAGATAGGCAAATAGCTCAGTGGAACAGAACAGAGAACCCAGAAATAGACCAACAGAAGCCATTTTGACTTTTGACAAAGATACAAAGCAGTTCGATGGGAGAAAGATATCATTTTTTTAAAAGGACTTTATTTTTTAATGCAGTTTTAGGTTCACAGCAAAACTGAACCAAAAGTACAGAAAGTTCCTTGCCCAGAGCATGCACAGCCTCCCCACTGTCAACATCCTGCACAAAAGTAGTATGTTTGTTATAATCAACTAAAGTACATCAACACACCATTACCACCCGCAGTCTATAGTTTACATTAGGTGTCACTATTGGAATTATGCATTCTATGATTTTGGACAAATGTATGATGACATGTATCCATCATCACAGTATCACACAAAATAGATTCAATGCTCTAAGAATTCTCTGCGCTCTGCCTATTTATTCCTCCTCCACCCCGCACCTCACTCCTAACAACCATTGATCTTTTTTCTTTTTCTTTTTTTAATATTTATTTATTTGGCTGTGCTGGTTCTTAGTTGCAGCATGTGGGATCTAGCTCCCTGACCAGGGTTTGAACCCAGATCCCCTGCGTTAGGGGCACAGAGTCTTAGCCCCTGGACCACCAGGAAGTCCACAACCACCGATCTCTTTATTGTCTTCAGTCTTCCCTTCTCCAGTGATAGTTCATGGTGAACCATGTCAAATTCGTGATCTCCGAAGAAGAAGATTTAACTTTGGGACCAGCTCTTGATCACTCAAGAGCTTTTGTGTAACAGAGTTTTATTAAAGCCTGAAAGGGACAGAGAAAGCTTCTGACATAGACATCAGAAGGGGGATGAGAGTGCCCCCTTGCTAGTCTTAGCAAGGCCTTAGATGCTTTTATCAGACCCACTCTCACAACATACATTTTTTTTCCATTTATTTTCATTAGTTGGAGGCTAATTACTTTACAATAGTGTAGTGGTTTTTGTCATACATTTTAAGATAACAGGATTAGTCTAAAGGTTCTTGTTAAGGAGAAACATATCCTCAAGCAAGATACATTGTTGTTACATAATCGTTACTAAGACTAAGGAACGTAGACAAAAAGTTTGTCCTTTACTCCTCCTTGAGAATTCCAGACCCTTATCTCCTCCTTGAGAGCCCCAGACCCTTCTCTCCTCCTCAGGAACACCAGACTTCTGATTAACCTTCCTAGGAATTGACTGTCTCACCAGAATGGCAAATGGTTAACATCATTTCCCTAGTGGCTCAGACAGTAAAGCGTCTGCCTATAATGCGGGTGACCTGGGTTTGATCCCTGGGTTGGGAAGACCCCCTGGAGGTTTATGAATAAAACCACCATAAATGTCAGTGTGCATGTTTTGTGTGGACTTACGTTTCAACTCCTTTGGGTAAATACCAAGGTACATCACTGCTGGATCATATGCTAAGGGTATTTTAGTTTTGTAAGACACTGCCAAACTGAATTCCAAAGTGTCTGCACCACTTTGCATTCCCATCAGCAATGCCTGAGAGTTCCTGCTATACAACATCCTCATCTGCGTGTGGTGCTGTCGTGTTCTAGATTTTGGCTGCTCTAAGAGGTGTATATAAGATCTCCCTTTAACTCAGTTGGTAAAGAATCTGCTTGCAATGCAAGAGACCTGGGTTCGATCCCTGGGTTGGGAAGATTCCCCTGGTGAAGGGAAAGTATCCAGTATTCTGGCCTGGAGAATACCATAGACTACATAGTGACCATGGGGTCACAAAGAGTCAGACTCGACTGAGTGACTTTCACTGTCAGAGGTGTGTGGTGCTATTTCATTTATTTCACTGGTGTTTTAATTTGAAATTACCTAATGACTTCTGACAATGATTAGGTTTTCATGTGCTTATTTGCCATTTATATGTCTTCTTCGTCAAAATGTCTGTCCAGGTCTTTTGCCCATTTTTAATTTGGGTGGTTCATTTTCTTATTGTTGAATTTCAGGAGTTCTGTGTATATTTTGGATAGCAGCCCTTTCTCAGATGTTTTTGTAAACATTTTCTCCCAATATATGGCTTGACTTTTATTCTCTTCAAGATAGCCTTTTCACCAAGTGATGCTACAGTAATTTGCCATCTTTAGACAAAAACTTATAAAAATGGAAGAAAAGAAAAAAGTGTTGACTTGTCTCATATCTTATACAAAAATTAACTTAAAATAGACCACAGGTTTAAATGTAAAATGTAAAACCCATAAGGGGAAAAAATCAATAACCTGAACCTCATCAAAATCTTGAAATTTTGCTTTGTAAAAAATCTTGTTAACAGTATGAAAAGATAAGCTACAAAGTGACAGAAAATATTTGCAAGCCATGTATTTGACAAAAATCTACTATATAGAATATATGTAAAGAACTTCCATCACTCAAAAGTAAAAATTCAAATAGAAAATGGGCAAAGACATGAAGAGACATCTAATTAAAGAAGAAATAGAGATACAAATAATTGCACGGAAAGATGTTCAACATCAGCCATTATGAAAATGCAAATTAAAACCACAGTGGAGTTGAAACAGCATTTCTCAGATGGGACTCAATGTAAGCTCCTTTCAATTCTTTTTTTTTTTTTTTTAATTTATTTATTTATTTATTTATTTTTTATCACAACCATAGTGTATCTTTTTTTTTTTTTTTTTTACATGTATTCCCCATCCTGGTCCCCCCTCCCACCTCCTTTCAATTCTTTTGTGTGTATACCTAGAAGTGGAGTTGCTGGATTATACGGTAATTTTATTTTAAATATTTTTTTTATATTCCCATCAACAGTGCCCAAGTGTTCCAATTTCTCTACATTCTTGCCAATACTTATTTTTTATTTTGGGGGATGGAGGTACTATCTCATTGTAGTTTTGATTTGCATTTCCCTAACAGCTAATTAGGATTTCCCTAGTGGCTCAGATGGTAAAAGCATCTGCCCACAATGTGGGAGACGTGGGTTTGATCCCCGGGTCGGGAAGATCTCCTGGAGAAGGAAATGTTGAGAATCTTTTCATATGCTTATTACTATTTGTATATATCTTTTTGGAGAAATGTCTATTCAAGTCCTTTACCTATTTTTGAATTGAGTTTGTTTTTTTGTTTGTTGTTGAGTTTTAGGAGTTCTGTATATTCTAGATATTAATCCTTTATCTAATGTATTAATTGCAAATTTTTTCTCCCATTTTGTGGGCCTTTTTACTTTGTTGATAGTGTCTTTTGATCCACATTAAAAATTTTTTTCATAAAGTCCAATTTGTCTATTTTGTCTTTTGTTTCTTGTGCCTTCGGTATTATATTCAAAAAACAACAGCCAAGTCCAATGTCATGAAACTTTGGCCATGCTTTCTTCTAAGGGTTTTTATAGTTTTAGGCCTTATATTTAAGTCTTGAGTCCATTTTGAGTTCGTTTTGTATATGGTGGTAACAATGAAACTTCATTCT